GGCCGGGCACGGGCCATATACGCGCACACACACGTTGCCGGAAGGAAGGGCGTGGCGTGGCGCGCGCGGGGCGCCGCCCACTCCGTGCCCCGCGCGCGCGTACGGGATGGCGGGGGATTCGAAACATATCCGCAGACACGCCGTGCTAAGTGCGGTCGGTCCTCAGCACCGTGCCGCATGTGTTCTCAAACCTCATCTTCTGCTGTTCACATTGCATTCTCTCTGTTCATGCCGCTTCTCTCTTTCAAAACCACTGCAAAAAATATTTAATGGGGTGCCAGTTCGATATGTAAAATTCGGTCGATGAAATCCGGTCTTGAAAACTAACTTCTGGTATCTCGTTCTCAACTCCAGCTTACCAAATTTAACACATTAACAGATGAATTACCACAACAACGTCTCTTTCATTTTTCAGTGCGCAGCCCTTGTCTCTTGCCCAAACCACTCTCCCGCGCTCGCCTCCCAGCACGCCCAGCAGCCCTTGCTGTAGTGCCGGTGGTCATGCATGTCATGCCCATGTCAGCCGGCAGCGTGCCCCCCATGGCGCCAGGCCGGCATGTGCGCGGTAGCAGACGGTCTTACATCGTTTATCACTGGCGAGAGGAGGAGAGAGAGAGAGAGAGAGAGAGAGAGAGAGAGAGAGAGAGAGAGAGGGAGGGAGAGAAAGAGAGAGAGAGAGACCGTCTGAAGAAGCGCACCGAGGCGAGCCGAGGCGGTCCGGACAAGGCACAGGCCGAGCACAGGCAGGGTCTAGCAATCTCGCCTGGGGCCCGGCCCCGTACGCACTCCTGGTACAAGGACCGCCGGTGCCGCCAGCTCCCGTCCGCTCTTGACCGACATAACGCTGCACTACACGGGGCTCCGACGAGCACCCGTCGAGGACCTACTGCAGCCAGACGACCACCACTAGAAAAAAAACCGACACCAAACAACGAACTGCAGATGCAAATGCTGCTCGACCCAATCTCTGACAGATGTTGCACTTCGAGAAAGCAGACACGATGGACAACACCGAAAGTGAGGAGAAAACGACAACAAAATTAATCATCAAGTGTTTTACACCCAAAACACGGAGTTCTTGTACCAAGTGCATCACACTTGATCCTTGATGAAAAATCAAGAATCACATACACTGGACTTGGTCGAAGAATTAATTTTTTCGAGTACAATAAACAAATGTCTGATTTAAAAACTATTACTCTGGAAACTCGGGTGTGAGACAGTCTCACACCAAATGGTGTGAGGCAAAATACCTCACACCAAACGGTGCGAGGCAAACATACCTCACACCAAATGGTGTGAGACTACGTGCGTGCCTCACACCAATTGGTGTGAGACTCGTTGTGCCTCACAGTAAATGGAGTGATACTTCCTCATACCAAATGGTGTGAGACACAGAGGGTCTCACACCATTTGGTGTGAGACTGTCTCACACCTGAGTTTCCAGAGTATGTTGATTTTCAACTGCGTTGCTTAGAAACCTTAGACAAACAAAACTGTGCCTGGACTCCTGGATTTCGATGCTGCTGTCTGTCGATCAGATCAGATCTGACCAGCTGTGCGCTCTGGAGAGGTAAAGTATCCAGCTCTGTGGCGTATTTGGACCGGGCTTCATTAGAACAGAAACAGCCGGACGGAAGAATGCGAGGTGCGTACGTCTGCGTAAGGCACGGGGGCGACCCGGGAAGACTGACAGGGTGACGTCACACACACAGTGCTGTCTCTACTACGGAGAGGGCGTGGCGTGTTGGCATTATTTATTGGGAGCACCGCCTCTCTCTCTCTCTCGCCCTCTCTCTCTCCCTCTCTCTCTCCCCAATCAGCAGACTGAGATATCAATCAAAACATTGCACGCTATGCCACGCCACGCAGCCGCCTTCTCAAGCGCTTTGCTGCTCGGCGCACAGGCAGCTCTACAGGATCCTATCCCCTCCCACGAACACACGCTCACACAGCTTCAATTCTGGGTAAGCAACGCGATAATCGGCAAAGCGCCATCTCAAATTTCGTACGTGCGCCATCAATAATTTTGGGCATGCTGCTGGCGAGGCGAGACGTCAGGTAGCTGTTTAATAAATGAATATTCAAGACAAGACACGCTCCGGAAAAAATAAAGACTTTGAAAGAAAGGCATCGTTTTGAAATGACTCTGGAGTGGCATGAACGTATTTTAACTTTAGAAGAACCAAGTAAACAACTAGGACAATGATATATTAATTTTGCAGCGTTCAGGGAAAACATTAGCTCCTCATTAAGGCGGCTAAGAGAGCGACTAAGTCGGGATTCTCGCTCCCCGCCACGCCGTACCCGTGCCGTCGCATGCCTAAGCAGCTGGGCTACATGGTATGAATTAAGTGAGTCTTTTTTTACTCATTTACCCAAACAAATACAACTGTTCCTTAGCTACCTGGCAAGCCTCGCTTCAGCAATAATTGTCAACGAAATTGTCCTCCAGTTGCCAGACCTTCCGGTTCAATTTGATTTCCTCTTCCTTTTTTCCCAGTGTACACCGCTAGGCTCATACCATTCCACAGCCTCCCAGGTAGGCGCCTTGTCGCCAGGGTGGGTACCTAGGTGGGTACCTAGGTACCTGCTGGGTACCTCGGTGGTACTCGGGTACCGGTGCGGTCATAACGGGCTCCGGCCAGCCGACCGGCGAGGCGCGCGGGGTGTCCCGTCAAAAGCGGGAAAGCAAACATACACAGGAAAAAAACAAAACAAAACGAAGTTTGTTGCGGTTGTCTGTCATCACTTTTCTCCGGGTGGTTAAATAAAAATGATAAGTGCGCAGATCTTGGTTTAACTTTTAACCACTCGGTGGTTCAATAAAAAATATACAAACACGACACGGATGTTTTTTTAAAAAGAGGCCACAGAGCAGATAAGAATGGCTGATGCACTTTCAAAGAATCTCTCCGTGTGCGGCGGTGTGAGCATGAGCATAAGCATAGGCCCACAGCATCGTTGGTGCACGACCGTTGCGGCGCAGGCGTGCTCGCACCTGCAGGTGCAGATGCGATCATTAAGAAGATTCAAAAAGCGCTACAGCTGCAGCTTCCACTCGCGCTCACCGCCCGGCGCACAACCCACACAACTTTGTGCCCCAGCTGCAGAGGTCCCTCTCTCCCATGCAGCTTGCAGCTGCGGCCGTTGGTCCAGTCCAGCAGCCCCAAAATGGATGACCGCCTGCTCCAATTTCCAAGCGACCCCATCAGGCAGAGCTATTATAATGCGTGCGACAGGTTTATGAATGAGTTGAGGCCCGGGGGAGGGGGGGAGGGGACTAACTGGAGCGTTTTGATTGGTCGCGTGCCATAATGCGCCACTTAGCGGGTCACTTTCAGACGCCCCCGGAACCACGCGGGCGGCGGGCGTGCTGCTGGGCTTGGCAAATAATCAGATAAAATAACTGCTCAAGATGACAAGATTTTTTTTTGTAAAAAAAGAGTAGGTTTTTCTTGCCTTTTTAAAACAATTAGAGAACTGGTTTTTATCATCCACAGACATTGACATTGAATGAAAGCTGTTGCCAGCTGTTGTAGCAGTTATGATATATCAAGAACGAACTTTCTTTAACTTTTAAAATTTCATGTACTGCAAAATTGCTTTACGATTAACCTCCGGGTGCCCGCCCTCCGGCTGCCTACCCTCTAGGGGTGTAAGAAAGTGCACGCACACCGGGTTCCTAGATAAGCGGCATGAGTTGCGCGCCTTTGTCACGACTCCTAGATGCTCTATCTCTATCCCGCGCGCACGTGAGCCGGCCTGCTCGGGATAGATGCGCGATAAACAGTTTCTATGCTTGAAGGGTGCCCGGCCATGCCAAAGAAAAGGGCCGGACTTGCGAGGGAAACAAAGTCTGGGGGCTAGAAACGCTTGTACTCGTTTGTATCACACAGAAACAGTCGAGGCATGCACTAACACAATGCCACCGATTTACGTGTCGTTAGTTCAATACAGAAACAGCAAATTTTAACCACTCATCTCTCACGAGACGTAACCCAGATCTACACAGATGCAGAACAGTAACTTCCGCAGTTGGCACTCACCTCATAGACGGGGGCCTCCCTGCAGGGCGCAGGAGACTTGGTACCGCTCAACATACCCATGGCGAGCTCACATGGTCACTCATGGCATCACTACAAAGTCCACTCTCACAACCCGCACAGACCACAACACGCGATGAAAGTGGCTACAATCACTGTCGTATGACCTGCACACATTGTCGTGAGGAGAAAATTTACACACTTGATCTCAAAAAGTAAATTTATCTCAACCGAGCTCTTAGAAAACAGAGGAAGCAGCAATGAAGAAGGATAAAAACACCTGTGGATCGTCATACTTCAGTATGTCACCCGTTAGTTTCTTATAACTTGTTTTACATCAAATATTCCCTATATTCTTTTCCGTGTATTTCAGAAAACGAAGGCCAAAACGAAGAATAAGTTCTTCTATATACTCATTTCAGCTAGAATACATGTCCTTGGAATAGAGCGATACATGTTGAGCCGGTGCGAATCGGTTCTCCAAACATCCGGACGGGCGGCGGCGGCGCTTCGCGACTCAAAGACTTCGTCTTTGTTTCGTCTCCACGCCCGTGGAGTGCGAGTGTGTGGCCCGGGCCTGGCCAGGCCCACCTCCTGCGGTGGCGGGGGAAGTACCAGCCAGAGCCATCGGGTCCAGCAGCCGCGCACACAGACCCCTGACCTTCACCGCCAGCGCCAAGGTCGGAGAGGATTCACACCTCCGCGACACACCGCCCC